ACTTAAATTAATTTAAAAATCAACTTCACACGATAATTTCAATAGCAACCACGTGCGTACAATTGACAAACTCACATAGGTTATGTTTACTACTTAAGAACAGCTGATGAGAGGGGTGTTATGTAAACAAACATGTGTACCAACTGTTGGTGATGAAATATTTCATTTGTTGAAAACTCAATATACATATATATAATATAATGATACTATATCTTGAAAACAAGAGCTAATATATAATTTTTATGGTCACTTTCGGTTTTAACACGTGGAAATACACTAAAATCATCTAATTTCAACCCCGAAACAAAAACTTTGTTGTGTTGTGATTTGTCAGAGAAACAACTTAGAATTATGTACATTTTATTAAATAAATACTTTATACACTTACACGATACTTGAGTTCCAAGTCGAAAAGTAACAATGATTATCAACAACTGGAAGAAACATATCAACATTCAAAACGAAAACCAATGATTAGAATTCATCTATACATGACTAACATTTTCAATATGATTTATTCAGAATGACATGTATACATGGATGATTTAGTATTAGATTATTCTAGGTAATTTTTTGTGGCCGCTCTCGTTGCATAAACAACGAACGATGGAATGCTTGAAATCAATTATTTTTGTGCATGCATCTGGCTTTTGAACAATAGAGAAATTGAAGGTATCGAAGTAACTCAAGATTGAGTGGGAAGGTATGTCAATAAAAGAAGACATATTGAGATCAGGATCAATATTCAATATCCATTCAATCATTGTTTATGCAAATAATGAACACTTACTTTATACACGATGGGTATATTTTATTCCAATAATCTATCAGATATTACAATTCCATATAAAATAGTTTTTAACATTTCATATATTTGAATAGTAGAATGTACAGATTTTATTACTATAAAACCTCTTGATCCTGATATTTTGATCAAATACAATATCATTAATCGATAACCCTTACAAACAGGAATGTTCATATGATATTCATGAAACACAAATTTCGATAACTCTTCTAAGTTTCGTGAAACTTCAAATAATACGTCAGAGGATTATCTGGTCATGTGATTTCATTGAATTTCACAATCGAAATATGACTGTTATTTTTCAAATCCAACATTTGTCCCAACTATTGAAAAGACGACTTTTGTTCGGTAAAGTGGTTCACCAAATTCTCAATAGCTGATCAATAATCATACCTAATTTTTCCTTGGAAAATTCTTGCAACTTGATATATTGTTATTGACGGAAAAAAATCGAATACATTTGGTGCTGACATATCAACATTGAATGACATATCAAACACAAGAGATAAATTTATCCCACGAGGATGTTTCAATGAACATTGTTCAATGGTTGCAATCCATATTCAATCTTCAGAATTTTCAGCAAGTTAGCTTGAAGAAGTCACCCTCAACTTGGTGATAAAAAACATTAATCGTGATAAAATTGGAATGGCAACATTTTGCTCTCATTTTTCTATTTGTATTTCCAAATATGCGCCTAATTAACTTACTATTATAAGAAAACAAGAATAGCTGAGGCACCAGTCAATGTAATGATAACACTGATGATCTTCAAACATGACTCAACCTCTGGCGAAAGCACCAAACTCTTACAAAGGTTCTAAAAAGATGAACACTTCAATCTAGCTGACCACTATTATAATCCTCATGCAGTCACTGCTCACTGTGGTTCTGCCGATGTATTGAATTCATTGGAGCCTCTGGCGACACCATACATTTCGTTTTATGAAGAAGAGGACATTGGCAGATCAAGATCTTCAGATGATGTGATGCTGCAGGTTTTTTCGGGTTTTCCTGCAGCTGAAAAAGCAAATGCACCACTGGAATCAATGAAGTCGCCCGAGAGCGCCAATTGATTTTTGTTGTTTTATAATTTCATGATTTATATTACATAAAGTTGTTACAATGGGAAAAAAAAGTCTTTCATCAGACTTTGAGAAATCGCTTGAGCATCAGTTCAATGCCATTCTTATTTGATAAATTGGCAATTAAAAAAAATCACATCATGTAGATTTGGTATATGGAACATGAACCATACACATAGGCTTTCACGGCTGGTGTCAGTGTTTCGATTGCCTTCCGAGTTTTGCCGTGGTCTTCTTTGGTTATAATTTCCAAACTTCAACTGCAACTTCTTGACGTGTCAACTGAAACTCATTTATGTCATGTCATTTAAAGTGCTGATTTTCCCCACCTTTTCACTAATTGCGGGTTCGCTAATACTTTCCGCGCGATTTGATGTCTTGGCTTCGTTTTGGCGCTTTTCAATGCTGTGTGGTAGATATTTGGTATAGACTTTACCACAGTCACATGGAATCTTGTAAACTACCGCTGGTTTGAGTGAGTCTCTGCTGTTTTTGCTGATCTCACTCCGATATTTTCTTCGTTGGTTTGAAGGCGGTGTTGATTTTCTCCTTCTTTAGAATTTTCTCGATTCGGTTGGTGACGCCTTATATGTATGGCACATGAAGATGAAATTATTACCAAAATATATGCATTCTAGAAACAATGAATCATGGATTCAATATTTCCGGATGACACGTACATTTAAGAAAAAAAATAGCAATCATGCATTGAATGAGACGAAAGTATTTTCCTATCAAATACTCAGACTAATTTTGGTTCGGGATATGTTCTTATACGACCATCAATCAGATGTAAATGGGTATAATTAATTCCTATGTGGGAGTCCCAGAAACTGATAATTTTTCAAACCGAATCGTGATGAGTGATGGCTCTTCTTGTATTCGAAAAACAAAACCAAAGTGCACGTTTCATAAAAGAATATGATTGAGATATTTTCCAGAGTTACAAGAGCGTTCATGTATATTAGTGAAGCTTTTATCTTTCTTTATTCCACGTAAGTCTTGTGTAGACATCTGACATCTGACATATTCAGTAGAACAATTCACTAGCTGTCCAATTTTAAAATTCTTTTTGAAAAAGTGAAGCACATACTTCCATTGTCTAATGTGATATAAATTGATTTGAAATTTATATAATATTAGACAATGGAAGTCCGAACTAATGAAATGCACCAAGAAACATTGTCAACTACCTTCAAACAAACGACAAACTATTTCAATATACACAATTCCATAATAACCTGATGTGGAATGTCTTCGCGATATCTGTTTAGTTCCGTACAATGTGTATGATAAAAGTAATTCCAAGCAAAAATGTAACACATTTTGTTGAACAAATGAATCGAATTCATTTTAGTGATAATGGCAGCTTTTCAAATCTCAAGAATGTGATGAAAATGTTATTTGTTAGAGTATCACTTATAAGATTTCATTGATATACTTCTTCAATTGAACCGTACTGAAGTGTGGTATGATTGAGAGCCAGGAAATTTGTTATGACGAAAAATTAGATTTTTTTTCTAATATTGAAATCAACAAAATCATAACGTGATTGTTTCAAATATTAGTTATCCACTACTACTTGCAGGCATGTTTAGAAATAGGCAATAAAATCAATGTTGACCAGAGAAACTAGATATTTATTATGTCATCAATGACTTCTTTCGTCTGGAAAAAAATCAATTCTGAAAATGCGTGTCAAAATAAATTGAATAATGAATATTCGAATGGGAAACTTATCGAAGAGTACGTTAGATGCAGATTATCTGTCAACTAGTGAAAATTTGGTGATTTTATTTTTCATATCGAGCAACGATTCACTCGTTAAAAAAGTTCCAGCATATCACAAAAAAATTGGACAATTGGGGACAACATTTTCAGATACATTGTTATTGTTGCCACACTTTTCGTCACTGAACACTCACAAAATATCTTTTATTATCCGTTCTCTGACGATATTTCATGAACCGTCAAGAAAAGTTTCAATGCCACTTCAGCAGTGACTAGCACCAAATGATGATAACGGAAAATATCAATAACCAAGAAGATGGACTGCATTGGAGCCAGGATAGTCCTCGACCTCCGTGCTGCATTGCTGCTGGATTCTCACCTGAAACAAAAGAATACTTCATTAGACCGCCATTGAAATATACCATTATGAAATATATGTTCCAAAGTTAAACTGAAAGGTACCAATTGACTCGATAAAATTGTTAAACTCATTAGATTGTGAAGTTATAACATATAAAGGGGGAAGTGGCAATACAAACCAGGTCTTTCCCGAAAAAAAATAACTAGAAAAAATATGTTCCACACAAAAATCAAAAAATATGGGGTGCGACTCACTCAACTGGGAAGCGACTTACTTACCTGGGGGTGCAAAGTTACAAGCGAATAGAAAGTTAATTTTTCAAAAGTATATTTCAAGAATGATGACCAGATTGGGAAATGGGGGCTATTGTAGAGGTACGTACAAAATATAAAATTGTAACTCTATGGCGATTACATTTTGAAAGCCTGAATATCCATTTATGACAATAGGGCTATATATTTATGGAAAATCATGCTAGTCATGAACATCAAACTAGAATAATAGGTCAGCTATTTCCATAACCTAGCTTCTCAAGAAATTAATAAAATTGTGTTCTTCAATTCTGTTGAGATTTCAATCAATATTCCAAAGGGTTTTTTCCTTCTTGTTGGAAAATTGCTCACGTTCAGCTTATAACCAAAAACAGAAAATCTTCCCAATAAGTGTAGACCAGTGGTTTTGCTATCAGTGATACCAAAAATCATGGAGAAAGTCGTAGACCACCATATCCTTAAACATCTGGAAAGATTCAACATATTGAGCGAACATTGTTATGGCTTCCGGAAACAAAGATCAACAGGCGAATTTCTATCTATGTCACCTTTATTTCAAAAACAGAATCGAGAAACATGGGGAATCAAGAGCTGTTGCGCATGATATTTCTGAGGCATTTGACCGTGTGAGGCATGAGGATTTGCTGGCTTCGATGCCAAATACTTTTTCCATCACCGCTGGTGTTCTTCAGGGATCTATATTGTCTACAACTCTCTTTTTATTGTATATCAACGACTAATTGCAAAAGACCAAGAATGTAACATTTTGTTTTTTTAGACGACATTGCACTTTTGATTCTTTAGTAATCATATTTAGTATTGTTATCATGTATGGAGCTCCGCCCCTAAACATATCCCGAAGCTACTGGATTCCTTTCAGAAGAAACCATTCGCTTGATTGGACACGCGAACATCAGTTGCAATCTTGATAGTCGAAGAAGGGATGGGGATATATCTTTCTTCTATAGATACTTTCACGGGAAGTGTTCAGTGACTAGGCATATTTGATTCCACCAAGAACGGTACATATCAGAAATACGGTACGGGCTCTGGCTGTCCATGGTCTTGAGGTCCAATTCAGTTCACCTCGAACTTCACTCTTTCATTTGGAGAACTGCGTTTATGTGGATTAAACTTCCTGACAATGTTTTCCCAAATGAATTTAATCTCCAGCGATTCAAATCCAAAGTAAATCGCTACTTTCACACAGGCACCGCTCTTAAGGGCAATCCTGTAGTGCTTGTATTTTATTCGTTCGGTTGCTTTTCTGGCGCTGTAACCCATTCGGAGGGTTAACCAACACCATCATCATTATTGTTATTATTATCATACAAACTTTCCAATCATATTTTCAGGGGCAAGCCCTTCAGGTGAATATGGGTACTTCCTTCACAGATGAGGGATAGAAAGCTACTGAAACATATAACTCTCTTGATGATACCAAAATGATCTGAGATGTTCCGGGATGTTCTGAAATATTGTGGAATGCTTTCGTATACTCTTTAATGTTGTAATCTGTTTCAGAACTTTTTAGAGGGCAAAATGTCTTACTCTTTTATCTATAAAAGCATGTCCTTCTTGTGAAACCAGAACTTTCATCATGGACAAGCTGAAGTGACAATATCACAGAAATGAATATGAATGTATTTGCGTTTGATATTCCTGCGAAGGTAGGTCAGGTCGTTGAAAAGTTGTTGGAAATTCTCATTGGTTGACAAAAAATGATTTGGCACAAAGACCTATTACATACGGTGGTAATAAGAAACCACTAAACACTTGGAAATAATTTCTATGTTCCTGTTAAAAATATGTTGCAGAATATGGCAACTGATAATGAAAACACATCTAACTATAAATATACCTGTTTATATATTCGACGTATCAGAATATTCCAATATAATTCTTGGAACTTTTGCACTATCATCTAACAATACCTTCGTTTCCCCTCACACATTCAACGAATATCCTTTTCAAATCAGGCTACACACAATTCGTCGTTCAGGAAAACCGATATAGTGCAGTAATGATGCTGGATGAAAATTCTCCCTCACGCTAACTTTGCTCAACTTGACGAAGCCGTTGATGCGTATGAAACGCAACCAATGGCAACCCAAACTTCATTCAATATTTGGTTTCCAACGAGTATAATTGGAGAAGTCTCGCAACCTCAACGAAGCGTTACTCATGAAAGTTTGGTAATTCCTGGTTGATCGAACTCCCCTTTGTATCATCTACCTTACTTCTATACAATGCGGATGTAAAGAGTCCATACTCCACCTAATTTTTGAACGGGGCAAGATATCATAGTCGGGCGAAATTATATGAGAAGAAATCAGTTTTGATGAAAAAATACATTTTGTAACATCATACCCCGCTGAAAGAGCACCATCAACTTTTTTTGATGGGAAGAAGGTTATTGTAACCCTTCTCCAAAAGGTTCTTCAATTCTCTTTCCGACGAATTTTACTGTTTTGAATTCAGGTTACCAGTTGCGGAGTGATTCGAGACTAGGAAAAATTATACATTCTAACAATACGTTTTTCGCAGATCTCGCGACACAGACATAGCCGTGAGGTATCTTGTCCACTGGAAGCGTGGTGCGGTAAGTTGCGAAATCAATTCGTCAGAATTCGCACAACAACGATCCAAACACATGGATCGGTATGGGACCGCGTGCAGTTGGCCCGTATCGTTCATCAGTTTCCGTCCGACTAGGTGCGAATTGCAAACCGATCCCGTTCTGCTGGGATTTGATTCTCATTCGAGAATAGAAAAAGTGGTGTTCATCGTCTATTTGAAGATCATGCCACAAATGATGAAATTCACCGAATTCCTTTTTTGCGCCTTCTTCATCAGGACAATTAAAAACCCCGTTTCAAAAAACTATCTCGCCCACTACGAATTCGGACGAATACTGAGGCAATGGACAATGTGCATTGCGCGATTTCGTACGAACTGGCACAAATTCGTTGCTTTGCAATTCGCAGCTTTTCGCTGCTAGTGGACGAAGGACCTAATGGATGCGATGTCGCAAATTCAAATGTTTCTTGTACCTCTACTTGTCCAAAGCTTTCGATTTAGCTGAAAGAATTATTCATCATCAGAATCAGAGGTGATTTTCTTCAATGAATAGGTACCCAAACAAGCTCGCTTGAAAAAATAACTTGTGGGTTACCCCAAGTATCCATTCTTGGTCCTGTTTATAATAATTCTCTAGCCAATTTCAAGTTGAATGGATCGATCAAATTATTTGCAAATTTCTCAGACAGTTACAAAAATTGATTTGGCCTAATGAACATAAATTGGGGCTTAATTCCAATGAATGCTCCTATATGAATATTTTCCTCAGAATAATCAATACTTCAAATAATTCGATGTTTGATCATATTTCTGTTGAATATACAGAAACAACAAAATTTTCAGGTTGATACATTGATTTTTTTTATGGACAGAACACAATCACTATAGGAAAAGCCTTGAGGCGCTCTTAGAGCGATGCTGTGCGAAAGTAGCGATTCACATTTGCTTTGAATCGTTGGAGATTAAATCCATTTGGAAAAATATTCTCAGGAAGTTTATTCCACATAAACGCAGTTTTCCAGATGGAAGAGCTCTTTAACAGTGAAGTTCGAGATGACCTGAGTTGTACCTGAAAACAACTATGCGCAGTCACAGTCCGTCGCGTATTGATTAGCAATTGTCATGGAATAAATATATTGGAAAAATTAAAAAGAAAATATATCCTCTCACTAGAATTTTTCACAAGATTAAAAACTTTATACCTTTGAAATGCTTCAAAATATATGCAGGGTGTTCATTAAACGTGCGGCAAAAATTCAAAAGACTATTCCTTGGATATCCTAAGGATATTTTTTCCTTTGATGATTTCTGATAGGGCGCTTTGTTTCCAAGATATGGAGCGAGAAAGAATTTCGACAATAACAATTTATTATCAGAAATTACATGTAATGTAACTTAATCTACAAGAAATGTTGAAGACGACTACTGTTGTTGATAGGTAGCAATGGAATTGTTACATTTTTTATCAATTGGTAGGTCAAGTTTACTACTCCGCACTTTTATTTCGGCTACGTTAATAATTTTAACAAAACATCCTGTCTAAATTTCCATTTTCAATCGAAACTATAATCTCTGCTGGATCATTGATGACCTCAACTAGTTTCGAAAAAGATCTTTCACCAGATGCAACTAAAACTGGCAATGTAAGTAATATTTTTGGCGCTTTTGCTGTGTTCGGAAATGTTGAAATTAAGTCATTAGTGGAAACATATTGTAATAGGGTTGGTGGACCAATAGATCAGTTTTCTGCAAAATGCATGTTTTTCAATTATTGATTTAATCCATATTTTACAATTTAAAAAATTAATCATATTTCACCAATATTCATTGTGAGATTGAAGTATGAACATTATTGTATAAAAACAAAAAAATGTGTGGTGAGATTGGTATTGTTAACGGTGTCTGGTAAGACGGTATGTCTTGCAACAAGATGTTTCTACGGTACTTACAAACGAGGAACTGTATTGTGTGATACGCGGTAAGACGGTATGTCTTGTTACTAGTACTCTCAGATGTAGACTGAATTTTATTTTCACTTGGTGTTACCCCCAAAAAAAAATTTTTTGAGAGAGGGTGATTTATAAGGATAGGCTGGAATTATTGTTGTATCGTATTTCCCGAATATCTTTGGAAAGGGTCGAAATTCGGCAAACAGAAAAATTAGTA